CAGCCTCCTGAGTAGCTGAGATTACAGGCACGCGCCACCATGCCCAGCTAATTTTTTGTAGTTTTAGTAGAGACGGGGTTTCACCATGTTGACCAGGATGGTCTCGATCTCTCGACCTCGTGATCCACCCGGCTCGGCCTCCCAAAGTGCTGGGATTACAGGCTTGAGCCACCGCGCCCGGCAACACTTCTCAATCTTAAGCTTTAACAGCACTTCACAACTCCCTCCCTGGATATCATATCTCTTAGGGGTACTTACTTTAGAGATGGCTTCTTGCTACATAAACCAGCCTGGTCTGATATCCAGGCACGAAGCAGTTCTCCAGCCGTAATGAGCCATGTAGCTGACGTTACACGTTTGAGCCATAATGCCTGTTCCTGCCATAAAGACTTTTTTTCAGGGATGGCTGACATTTTGTTTTTGCTGTAACAGGATATGAAAATAGGGCACTTTCAGTGTTTTTATCTTACTGATGTCACTCTCCTGATATATTTTAAGTTTGCAGTTTGTATTTCCTTTTTTTTTTTTTTCCTAGAGGGAGTTTCGCTCTTGTAGCCCAAGCAGGAGTGCAGTGGGTCGATCTCGGCTCACTGCAACCTTTGCCTCCCGGGTTCAAGCGATTCTCCTGCCTCAGCCTCCCAAGTAGCTAGGAATACAGGCACATGCCACCACGCCTGGCTAAGTTTTGCATTCTTAGTAGAGATGAGTTTTCTTTATGTTGGTCTGACTCCTGACCTCGTGATTCCCCCGCCTCAGCCTCTCAAAGTGCTGGGATTACAAGCATGAGCCACCTCGCCCAGCCTTCTATTTCATATATGTCTGTAATTTTAGATTCAGATTGTTAGGACAATATTCTAGAATTTGCGTGGTATGTCTGAAGAAAATGAGATAATTAGGCACTCCATATTTACTAAAATAGTTACTTATATTTTTAAGTTTGCTGCAGGCAAAAGAAATACAGGTTTTCATCTACTTTCTTCAACCTATATCTAAATAATTACATAGTTTATTTCTTAATACATTTTTTTTACATAAGAGAGGGTATAACTCTATTCTGTAAAATATTTACATATATTTTCTGTATTTAGCAATGTAAGGCTATTCTTTCTAAAGCTGGATTACAGCAGTTTCACTTTGTGTAAGAATAGCATATTTACTAAAACATAAAAAGTAACTTTTTAAAAATGGGTACTTATTAAAAGTTTCTCATTAGAATCTGATATTTGTCATTATACTGTGTATTCTATTTGTTTGTTTACTTATTTGTTTTCTTTTTCTTTTTCTTTTTTTTCTCTCTCTTGTTACCCAGGCTGGAGTGCAATGGCGTGATCTCGGCTCACTGCAACCTCCGCCTTTATTTATTTATTTTTTAGAGATGGGGTTTCACCATGTTGGCCAGGTTGGTCTCGAACTGCTGGCCTTAGGTGATCTGCCCGCCTGAGCCTCCCAAAGTGCTGGGATTACAAGCATGAGCCACCATGCCTGGCCTATACTGCATATTCTCTAAAATTTTAACTACCAGACAGTGCATGCCAGTCATTCGAAATACCTGTATTTGATGAGTACACAGTAAAAGTTAATTACTGCAGTTACCTACACAATTTTTAAAATTTTTCTGAGATGGAGTCACCGTCTGTCACCCAGGCTGAAATACAGTGGTGCAATCTTGGCTCACTGCAACCTCCACCTCCTGGGTTCAAGAAATTCTCATGCCTTAGCCTCCGAAGTGGCTGGGATTACAGGCATGAGCCACCATGCCTGGCCAATTTTTGTATTTTTAGTAAAGATGGTGTTTTACCATGTTGGCCAGGCTTGTCTTGAACTCCTGACCTCGGATAATTTGCCCACCTCAGCCTCCCAAAGTGTTGGGATTACGGGTGTGAGCCACCGCACCTAGCCTCAGTGTAGGTTTCCTAGCCTCAGTTTATTGTGTCTATTGGTTTTACTTAATAATTCTATTTTTTATTTTTTTTATTTGAAGATAAAACGAAGAAAAGGAGAAAGAATAAAAAATAATAATAAAAATAAAAGATAACTAAAAAAAAAAAAATGATGAAGAAGAGGAAGAAAGGAAGAGTAAGAGGGAGAGAGAACGGGGGTGTTGCTTTATTGCCCAGGCTAGAATGCAGTCTAAAAATAGGTATGCCTATTATTGTGCTTAATAATAGAGACATGAAAATGAGGGAAGAAAATAACAAACAAGCAGCCAACCAATATTTCCTTTAAACCTGTAAGTAGGTATGATGTGGTACTGATAAGAGTGTATATTTTGTGTATTTAAAAGTGGAGAGTTCTATAAATGATAAATAAGTTTGCTTGATCCAGATCTGAGTTCAAGTCCTGGATATCGTTATTAATTTTCTGTCTCATTGATCTAATATTGATGTTGAAATCTCCCACTATTATTGTGTGGGAGTCTAAGTCTCTCTATAAGTCTTATATATCTGGGTATTCCTGTATTGGGTGCATGTATATTTAGGATCTTTAGCTCTTCTTGTTGCATTGCTCCTTTTATCATTATGTAATGTCCTTCTTTGCTTCTTCTGATCTTTGTTGCTTTGAAGTCTATTTTCTCAGAGGCAAAAATTGCAACTCCTGCTTTTTATTTATTTATTTGTTTTTGCTCTCCATTTGGTTGGTAAATCTTTCTCCATGCCTTTATTTTGAGTCTTTGTGTATCCTTACATGTGAGATGGGTCTGGGTGCAACGTACCGATGGGTTTTGGCTTTTTTTGCCTCTCTGTGTCTTTGGATTGGGGGATTTAGTTGATTTAAATTTATAATTAATAATAAGGCCGGGCGCGGTGGCTCACGCCTGTAATCCCAGTACTTTGGGAGGCCGAGGCGGGTGGATCACGAGGTCAAGAGATCGAGACCATCCTGGTCAACACGGTGAAACCCCATCTCTACTAAAACTACAAAAAATTAGCTGGGCATGGTGGCGCGTGCCTGTAATCCCAGCTACTCAGGAGGCTGAGGCAGGAGAATTGCCTGANAAAAAAAAAAAAAAAGGATCAATTTTTTTATTGGCCTACTCAGAATATTCCAGCACTTAATTTCACTATTACCATTTATTCTGTTAGTCATTCTCTACTAAGGAACATCCAAATTCTCTGCTAATTAAGGGCTTTTTAAAGTCATGTTTGGGTGAGATAGCCAAACTAAACCCTGAGCGAGAGTGCCCTCTGGTGGTTTCACCAATAATGCTTGAACAAGAACGGTGTAGTGAGTTTTTCATGAAGCTAACTGTATTTAATTAAAGAAACATTCCACTTTACGAATTTTAAAATGTCTGCAAAACAGACAAATAAATAGATCTTTCATAAAATTTTAGTGATGGTGGATAACAGGTTTTTATCCCTGGGGGTGGGGGAGAGTGGTTGGGGAGGCAGAGAGCAGGTGATGCTGGTGATGAAATATGTGCTTATTTAGCAAAATTAAAAATCAGCAACCCATGAAAAGCAGAATCTCAGGAAGTACAGTGTACATCTATACTACCAGTAGAGTAAAGTCAAAGTTAATTTGCCAAAGCACTGACACATAATTATGTGGCTTTGGGTGTCTGAGGACAATCCCTATTTAGTAGAGCTTGATACTTGGAAGAAAAATCTTTGTCATTATATTTTGATTTGTTTTTCAGTTCTTTCTACATTTACAACATAGCTAAAAATTTGTAGAATTTTGGATATAAGTCAACCTGAAAGAAAACCAAACATTTTTCAAGAATACATCATTGACAAAGCTGGTAAATATTTCTGATTTATTAAATTCAATCAAACTTATTTTTTTAATCTTTCCAAATGAAATTTATATTAATGGAAAAAGTAAACCACTTAAAAATATTTCTTTTGGGTAACAGAAGATCACCATTATTAATTATTTCCTTTACTCTCTCCTACTTCACTGGCTACTTGGAACTTCAACTACAGTTCCTTTACTAAAAGAACTAGATCATATAATGGACTTTGAATGAGAAATTATTTTTCACATCAATTTTACTGTATCACAAACATTTTACAGCACAAAGTTTAAATAAAGCAACTTTCTACCTTATTAAAAGATTCTTCACCACCTTAATAGAAATTGAAGGGGAAGCAATGCTATTAAGGATCATATGTAACTAGTAATGGCAGCAGAGTTATCTATTAACATTCTCATAACACTAGTCTAGTGGCACTAATATTTTAATCACAGAGCTGCAGTTGTTTGCATGTGTTCTGAAGCTAGCATAATCTTTAAGACAGCCAGGAAAAAAACCCTCAAAACAAATTACATAATATTCTATCTAGAAAAATCTCTAGGAAAGCACATTCTTGGGTGAACGAAAACCAGCCCTTTGTCATTGTGATGCACTGAAAAAAAGCTCTGGAGCCTGACAATTTGGCTCCTGGCTCTCCCACTTGTTTGGTAGGTTCGAGTCACTGTAAAATGCTATTACATCCCTTCTTCAAAGGATTATTTTGAGAATTTAATAAGAATGGATGGAAGGGGCCCAGTAGATAGTAAAACCTGATCAAAATATCAGTAATTTAATTATTTCCTAGAAGCCAATTGAAACATTATAACATTTATTTTCTTGGGAGACCTTATGGATGAGTTTATTCTCAAAGGCAATTTAAAAATCTCCCTCAGGAAAGCCATGCACCTTTTTATTAATCATATTTATACTACTAACAATGTTTGGCTAATGATGTAAAAATACTTAAATCATACTAGACACACAAAAAGATGTTTCTCAACTTATGGTAGGATTACATACCAATAAACCCACTGTAAATTGAAAATATCATAAATTCATAATGCTAGCCTACCTTAAATATGCTCAGAACACTTACATTACCCTACAGTTGAGCAAAATCATCTAACACAAAGCCTATTTTACAATAAAGTGTTCTGATATAACCTATTGATGTTCTACTGAATATGTATGGCTTTGGCACTATGGAAAAGTCCTAAATTGGAGACCATACATAAATGAAAGACTAAAATTGAAAAAGAAAAATAAAATGTAATAGGTTTCTCTAAATAAGAATGTCAAATCCAGAATTACTTAACATATATAAAAGTACACATTCTAATATATGAAAAGGTATTTTATCATTATTACTTTACTACATATTAGTGAACACACCAGATGGCATTTTTTCAAATTGCAAATGAGGCACATTTCTCTTTGATTCTCCCAGGAACCTCAGTATCATCTGTCTTTTGGAGGATTCGGATTCTTACGACATCTGTGATACCGTCCATAAGGATACCAGCGGTGCTTAGTAGTAAAGAACATTTTGCTAAGTTGTTCTACCATAGGTCCTTGCTCAAGGGGTTCAACTTTTTCTTCCAATCTCGTTTTCAGGATTTGATCATGTGTTTCTTCATTATTATGCACAGGATCTGGCTGAGGGATAGGTTTTGTGTGTTCATATGGAATGTCCACAGAAGGGTGGTAGCATACTATTGTCCTGCCATCAGAAGTCAGGGCAAGCTCTACTTTACAATTATAGTCATCTGGTAGAGGAGAAAATGTAGATTTATGACAAACACAATAGAAAGCTCCGTTCTGGATTGGAAATAAATGTTTCAAGATAGTTTTCTTTGACATCACCCATTTTACTGCAGCTACAGCCATGGTGTTTCAAGATGCTTATCAAGTGGTATGAAAAAAGATGTTCTGAAGAGAAACTGCCTTTAAAATCTGCTTCTAGGCATACTAATTTCTACTCCTGCTTCACAGCTTCTCACCACGAGCCCGCCATCTTGTTTCTGATGTAAATTCTTAATTACTTTGATGCTCTTTACTTTTTGGTATTTTTTAGAAAGGCTGATACTGGTTGTTCCCTTCTATTTTTAGTGGTTCTTTCAGAAGCTCTTGTAAAGCAGGCCTGGTGGTGATGAAATCTCTGAGTGCTTGCTTGTTCACAAAAGATTTTATTTTTCCTTCGCTTATGAAGCTCAGTTTGGCTGGATGTAAAATTCTGGGTTGAAAGTTCTTTTCTTTAAGGATGTTGAATATTGGCCCCCACTCTCTTCTGGCTTGTAAGGTTTCTGCTGAGAGATCTGCTGTGAGTCTGATAGGCTTCCCTTTATGGGTAACCTGACCTTTTTCTCTGGCTGCCCTCAGTATTTTCTACTTCATTTCAACCCTGGTGAATCTGGCGATTATGTGCCTTGAGG